TACAATAAATAGTTTGTGTTTCTTCAATTTTAATTGTATTAACGAGTTTTTATGACTTAATTTAAACCTTTTCAATTTATATATACAAAATGAATAAAAATATTTGGATATGAGTTATTTTTATTTATTCTCTATTATAGGAGAATAGAAATATTAGTATTTGACAAAGAGTATCTATGATAAGTTAGATTCAAAGTATTTTTAAAATAATAATACTGAAAATAGATTTTTTGTTTTTTTTGGAAATAAGATTTTAAGTTCAAGTAATATTCAGATCAATAATAATGAGTCAACCATCTATGCCAAATTCTTTACCAAATGGATTGTCTGAAGGTGTTAGAATTGGAAGAAGATCATTTAAAAATCAAAATGTCTTTGGTTCTAATACAGCAGCACAACCCCCATTGAAACCATCAGGACTTATGCAATCCACAGAAGTTCCTCCTTTAACTGGACCTCTTTCTAAAACACCAAGTATTGAAGTTCCATTATCACCAACTGTTAGTCCAGCAGTTAAAATGGGGTCAGCTTCTTATAATGCATCTTATAAGAAATCAATTCCACATCTAACACAAGCATCATTTGGAAGTAACGCATCGAGTGAACGAATTACAACACCAGAAGGAAGTTATAATGGATCACATGATGGGTCATCACATTATTCAAGTCATACAAAAACACCAGGAATTTATCCAACTATTGAAATGAAAAAAGTTGAAGAAATATTAGGTAATTTGCAAAGTGATAAATTTTATGTTGATCCATCAGAAGATACAAATATTAAAAGCATTAAATATCCTGATCAATATCTCGATGGACAACATGCAGATTGGAAAGAAAAAATTTATCAAGACGTTCCAGTACTTCAAAAGGTTAGAGAAATTGTTTATCCTCTTCAACGTACAACAGCATTGGTTAAAGAATTAAATCCAGGAGTTCAAAAAGTAAAAGATAAAATAAATAAAGAACAAATGATTCGACTTATTTTACAACATTTACATGTAAAAGGATATAATGAAAGTAGAAAAATACTTGAAATAGAAAGTGGTATAAAAACACCTAAACATAATTTAAATAAAAGTGTATTATTATATTCACTTTATAATTCAATTCATAATAGTGATATGGTATATGATTATATTGTTGAAGATAAACACACTTCTACAGAATCTGCTAATGAACATTTTAAATCTATTGGATTAAATTCATTAGTTCAAGAATCAGATGATTCTATGAAGTTATATGAAGATCCTGAAGTATTACGTCTTAAAGGAACAGAATTTCCTGATGTTACTCTTGAAGATGCATCAGAAAAGAATATGAATTTAAATACTATTGTCTTTAAATTAACTGCTTTTGGTTCTCGTGCAGGTATTTTTGTTAAAGCTATTTGTATGTTTTTAACTACTATTACTACACCAGATAAATTCTTCCTTAAATTAATGGAACGATTAGATGTTCCTGAAGATTTTGAACCTGAAAATAAAGCACCAAAAGATCAATATAAAGCTGCTATTAGTTCTAAAGTTGCTGGTGTTATTAAAACATGGATTGATTCATTTGCTGTTAGTTATGATGTTACTGTAAAGAAAGGATTAATTCGATTGATGGAAGAACATCTTAAAGTAGTTGAAGGAGCTGTTGCAGCTGTGATAAAAGGTAAAATTGGAACATTGAAAAATTCAATTGAAATGGATCATAAGACAAAAGGATTTAATCCATTAATTAAACAAAGTTGTATAATTTCACCATTAAGATTAGATGAAAGTACTGATACAAAAGAACAATTACCACAACCAGACAAAATGAAGAATTTATTTGATAAATTAATTCCAAAAGTTAAATTTATTGATATAGATGATGATGTAATTGTATCACAATTTACATATATGGAAGCATCAATCTTTTATAAATTAGAACCAAGTGAATTCTTTGGACAGGCATGGGCTAAAGCTAAATTAAGACATAAAGCACCAAATATTATAGCATCAACACAAATGTTCAATTTCATTTCTAGTTTCTTTGTTAATATGATATTAAATACAGAAAGTCTTGAAGAAAGAATTACATTAGTAAAAAAGATTCTATCATTAGGTATTAAAGCACATGCAATTAAAAATTATGATTTATTATATTCATTAACAGGATCATTAGGAGATGCTGCTATTTTCAGAATGAAAAGAACATGGGAAGTTGTGAATCAAGACCCAAATAAAGCAGAGTTTGATCGATTAAGTGGGTTATTCCAAAGAAACTTTGGAGGATTTAGAAATGAAGTTAAAGACATTTTTACAACACCATGTCTTCCATTTATTGGAACATACCTTACAGATTATACTTTTTTGGATGATGGAAATCCTGATATGGCTGGTGATAAAATTAATGTGGATAAAAAATTAAGATTATTTGAGTGTATTAATAATGTAATACGTTTTAAAGATACAAAATATGATATTGTTGCTATTCCACAAATTATTTGTTTCATTAAAAATTATTATTTTGATGATGGAATTCTCACAGATGAGAAATTGAAATATGAGAAATCTTTAAAGACAGAACCAAGAGTAAAGAATTAATTTTAATTCACTGCTTTTTATTCTTTTCACTACTTTATTTCATTTGAAATTATTCTTTATTTTAAAATAATTGATTTTGCTAATGAAATAATTTGTGCTTTTATTTCTTCAGGAAGTGGCAATTTCGTTTCTAACCATTTCTCCGCTTTCTTCACAAGTAATTTCCATTCAATTTTATTTTCTATAAATTTCTCGTGCAGTAATTGAACTACAAAGAATGTTTGAACAATGGCTTGGTCAAATTGAATGTTTTTAAATTTATCTATTTCTTTAATGAATGTGTCAACTCCTACAAATTCTCCTGTTGCTTTTTGACATTTGACAATCTTTTCAAATAATGATTCCTTTGCACTTTCTTGTTGTTGTAAAATTTCCTCTTGACCCATAACTATTGAAGAATTACCAGGAGGAGGTGGTGGTGGACATGCACAACCAGCAATACCAGGAGGAGG